AGAGATGGCTCAGCGGTTAGGAGCACTGGCTGTTCTTCCAGAGGTCCTGAGTTCAATTCCCAGCAACCACATGGTGGCTCACAACCATCTATAATGAGATCTGGTGCTCTCTTCTGGCCTGCAGGGATGTGTGCAGACAGAACACTGCATACATAATAAATAAATAATCTTTAAAAAAGAAAGAAAGAAAGAAAGAAATTGAAGGAGATATCAGAAAATGGAAGGATTTCCCATGCTCATGGATAGGTAGGATTAACATAGTAAAAATGGCAATCTTACCAAAAGCAATCTACAGATTCAATGCAATCCCCATCAAAATCCCAACACAATTCTTCACAGACTTGGAAAGAACAACCCTCAGCCTCATAACGAAAAACAAAAAACCCAGGATAGCTAAAAGAATCCTGTATAATACAGCAACCTCTGGAGGCATCACTATCCCTGACCTCAACCTCTACTATAGAGCTATAGTAATAAAAACAGCTTGGTACTGACATAAAAACCGACATACAGACTAATGGAATCGAATTGAAGACTCTGACATTAATCCACACACATATGAGCACCTGATTTTTGACAAAGAAGCCAAACCTATACAATGGGGAAAAAAAAGTATCTTCAACAAATGGTGCTGGCATAACTGGATGTCAACATGTAAAAAATTACAAATAGAGTCATATCTGTCACCACACAAAAAAGTCAAGTCCAAGTGGATCAAAGACCTCAATATAAATCCAGTTACACTGAACTTGATAGAAGAGAAAGTAGGAAGTACTCTTGAATGCGTTGGCACAGGAGATCACTTCCTAAATATAACATCAGTAGCACAGACACTGAGAAAAACAATTAATAAATGGGACCTCTTGAAACTGAGAGGCTTTTGTAGGGCAAAAGACACAGTCAATAAGACAAAAGATCTTCACCAACCCCACATCTGACAGAGGACTGATCTTCAAAGTATATAAAGTACTCAAGAAACTAGACATCAAAATAGTGAACAATCCAATTAAAAAATGGGCTAAAGAGCTAAACAGAATTCTCAAAAGAAGAATCTCAAATGGCTGAAAGACATTTAAGGAAAAGCTCAACATCCTTATTCATCAGAGAAATGCAAATCAAAACGACTCTGAGATACCACCTTACACCTGTCAGAATGACTATGATCAAAAACACTAATGACAGTCTATGTTGGAGAGGATGTGGAGCAAAGGGAACACTCCTCCACTGTTGATGGGAATGCAAAGTTGTACAACCACTGTGGAAATCAGTATGGCAGTTTCTCAGAAAATTGGGAATCGATCTACCTCAAGACCCAGCCATACCACTCTTGGGCATATACCCAAGGAATGCTCAATCATACCGCAAAGATACATGCTCAACTATGTTCATAGCAGCATTATTTGTAATAGCCAGAACTTGGAAACAACCTAGATGCCTATCAAATGAAGAATGTATTAAGAAAATGTGGTACATATACACAATGGAGTACTACTCAGCAGAGAAAAACAATGACAGCATGACATTTGCAGGCAAATGGATGGACCTAGAAAATATCATCCTGAGTGAGGTAACCCAAACCCAGAAGGACAAACATGGTATGTACTCACTTATAAGTGAATATTAGATATAAAGTAAAAAACAATCAGACTGCAACTCACAGAACCAGGGAGGCTATTTAGCAGGGGGGACCCTAGGATGACTGTGGTTTATAGTAAGTTTTGGTTTTACTCAATCACTGGGCAAGCTTCAGTGAAATACTTTACTATTAGGATAAGAATTTGTACTGTAGCTGAGCAGTGGTGGTGCACGCCTTTAATCCCAGCACTTGGGAGGCAGAGCCAGGCGGATCTCTGTGAGTTTGAGGCCAGCCTGGGCTACAAAGTAAGTTCTAGGAAAGGCGCAAAGTTACACAGAGAAACCCTGTCTCAAAAAAAAAAAAGAATTTGTACTGCATCAAGCTGATAATAGAAAAAATAATAATGAAAAAAGAAAACAACAAGGCAAAAAAAAAAAAAAAAGAAAAGAAAATAGTCTGAGCAAGTCCTGGAGAGTAAAGTAAGCAGTTTCCTCCATAGGTCTCTGTCTCAGTCCCTGTCTCTGGGCCTCTGCCCTGCCTTGAGTTCCTGCTTTGATTTCCCTTAAGGGTGAACTGTGATCCGGACATGTGAGCTGAATAAACCCTTCGCTCTGTCTACATAGGAGAAGGTGGAGCCTCAGTTACAGTGGACACCACAGCATGTTGGCAATACCAGTAGGATGGAAGCACCCAGAACAGTAGCCAGTGTGATATGGTACTGGCCTGACAGTAGAAGATAATCTGTGTGCTGCTGGTGGCGGAGCTGGGGAAGTGGATCCGAGACCTGGGAGCCCAGGTGATGGTGTGTCAGTTTCAGAGATGGGACACTGAATTACTGACACTGAAGGAGGTTGGCTTTGCTTCGCTTTGCCTGTGACTATGTACTCCTTTTTCCTTTTTAGAGTAAGAAAGAATGTAACTTTTTTTTATCTAGCAGAAGCCCACAGTTCAGAGACTTTCATCTTTTGAAAGAGACACTGGGTTTTTAAGGGGATCTTGGACTTTTAAAGTCTTGAAATATCTTAACACTTCTTCTTCTGAAAAACACCAAACGGTGGATGAAACCAATGCAGCAGGAGGGCCCAGAGGATCCAGGGCCCAGGATTAGGTGGCAAGGGTGCCTTTGGCAGAGGTCTTATTGGCCTGGCCAAGGCTGCGGTGCTTGTGGAGGTAAAGCCAAAGACTAGGATTGGATCTCCATCACCAAGCTCAGCCACCTGGTTAAGATCAAGTCCCTGGGGGATATCTACTTGTTCTCCAGGCCCATTAAGGAATCTAAGACTATTGATTTTTTTTTCTGGGTGCATCCCTAAAGGATGAGGTTCCAAAGAGCATGCCAGTGCAGAAGCAGACTCTGACTGGCCAGCAGATCATGTTCAAGGGTTTTGATGCTATTGAGGTAGCCACTGCCATCATCTTGGCTAAGCTGTCCATTGTCCCTGTGCAGCGAGGCTACTGGAGAAACAAGACTGATGAGCTCCGTAGTGTTCTGTGCAAAGTGGCAGGCCGCTGAGGATCTCTATTGGTGCATCTCATCCCTGACCACAGAGCCATTGGCAGTCTCTGCTCCTAAGGCCAAGAAGCTACTGATGGTGGCCGATATTGATGACTGCTCCACATCAGCCAGGGGCTGCACTGCCACCCTGGGCAACTTTGCCAAGGCCACCTTTGATGCCACATCTAAGACCTACAGCTACCTGACCCCTGACCTCTGGAAAAATACCATGTTCACCAAGACTCCTTATCAGGAATTCACTGACCATCTTGTGAAAACCCACACCAGAGTCTCTGTTCAGAGAACTCAGGCTGCAGCTGTGACCACCATATAAGGGTTTTTATACAAGAAAAAATAAAGTGAATTAAGCCAAAGAAAGAGAGAGAGAGAGAGAGAGAGAGAGAGAGAGAGAGAGAGAAGAAGAAGAAGAAGAAGAAGAAGAAGAAGAAGAAGAAGAAGAAGAAGAAGAAGAAAAGGAAGGAAGGAAGGAAGGAAGGAAGGAAGGAAGGAAGGAAGGAAGGAAGGAAGGAAGGAAGGAGAAAGAAAGAAAAGAAAAGAAATATGGTAACTTTTTCTTATCTTTTCTTGCTTTTTTCATTGTGGGGGGTATGCTTTTTTTGTTTTGTTTTGTTTTGTTTTTTGATTATTCAAGGCTTCCCTGTGTAGCCATGGCTAGTCTGGAAATAGCCCTCTAGACCAGGCCAACCTTGAACTCAGATATCCACATGCCTCTGCCTCCCAAGTACTGGGATTAAAGCCATGTGCCACCACTGCCCAACTTTTTTGTATTTTAACTGTGATATTAACATTAACATGACATCTTGTGGACAAACAAATAGGAAAGTGCTGTGGGATGTTCTGTATGGCAAATGTGTTGCTGATTGGTCAATAAATAAATCACTGATTGGCCATTGGCTAGGCAGGAAGTGTAGGCGGGACAAGGAGGAAAATAAAGCTGGGAAGTGGAAGGCTGAGTCAGAGAGACACTGCCAGCCGCCACGATGACAAACAGCATGTGAAGATGCCGGTAAGCCATGAGCCATGTGGCAAGGTATAGATTTATGGAAATGGATTAATTTAAGCTGTAAGAACAGTTAGCAAGAAGCCTGCCACGGCCATACAGTTTGTAACCAATATGAGTCTCTGTGTTTACTTGGTCGGGTCTGAGTGGCTGTGGGACTGGCAGGTGAGAGAGATTTGTCCTGACTGTGGGCCAGGCAGGAAAACTCTAGCTACAGGAAAGTTTATATGTTAACAGTGATGTGTTTGTGTTTGAAGTTGACAATGCGTCGATTTTGCTGGTTAGCATTATGTCAGCTTTACAAAACCTAGAATCATATGAGGGAACTTCAATTGAGAAATGCCCCACTATTTTGTCTTGAGAGGAAGCCTGTGGAGATTTTATTGATGACTTATGTGGATGGGTCCAATCCCCTCTTATCAGTGCTGTTCATGAGGAGGTGGTCAAAAGGTGTATAAGAAGGCAAACTGAGCAAGCCATGGGGAGCAAGACAAGAAGCAGCAATCCTCCATGGCCTCTGCCCAGAGCTTTCTGCTTGAGTTCATGCCCTGACTTCCCTTGTTCAGGGACTGCAAACTGCAAGCTGAAATTAACCCTTTCCACTCCACGTTGCTTTGGCTCATGGACTTCATCCCAGCAATACAAAGCCAAACTAAGACATTCTGTATGGCATAAAGTTTGTATATATGAACTACGATAACACATCACATGTGACATCATCATATTCTAGTTGTCCAAGACAACTGTATTTGACATCTTCTAGTACTGATGTTTAAGACAGAAATTTTAGGAGAAAATTTTCTGAGATGAAATTAGTTTGATGCTGGATATTAAATACCTCTTTTACGTTGTTGTAAAATGTCCTAACACAACAGCACTATAGAATGTGGCTTTGGAAAATAAATTACCTTAATTTTCTGCAGAGATTTTTATACTCATTTGCAACCTTCTTGTTTTCCAACTTGTTCCCTAAAATGTAGAACCAGAGAAATAGTTAAGAATTATTAATAACAGAAAAAATAGATAACAGCTAAGTTGAAGGTATAAGTGATCTCACATACCCCTTCCCATTCAGCTTCCCATATTCCAATTTATACATCAACACTGATAAGCTAGAAACACTGTCCTGTTGATGCGTTAGAAAAGGCAATGCTCATGTGTACCTATAGCAGCCAGGTTCCTCAAGGTTTCCTGCATCACATCTTTGTACAGCTTCTTCTGGGATGGATCCAGCAGAGCCCACTCCTCCTTGGTGAACTTCACAGCCACATCCTCAAAGCTCAATGACTCCTAAAAATACACACATATATTTCCCGAAAAGTGAGCCTCATGGTACTGGAGATGTACACAGAGTTAATGAGAAGTTGACATGACTATGTTCTATATCGTGTCATGACCAAGTTGTCTTGGTCATCACACTCTACTGCTCATTCAGACTAGGATTCCCCCAAACACAAATGCTAAAAGTGAATTAGAGCTTTCTGGGAAGGAAACATGAAGATAGCATGAGCTCTTGTGCACACCACTGTGCTAGTTTCTCTTTCTGCACTGCATCTTTCTAACAACTTTCATCACAAATTCTGATGATCTAATACCCTCCAGGGAGTCAATATCAGCAGTCCTTAGAATGTGTGTGCTTAGAAATGCTGGACAAAATAGTCTCCTGGCATCTGGGAACTGAGATCTCCAATGATTCCTTCCCCTCATAGCTGTAAAGAACAAGGTAGATTTCTCAGATAGTTGATGACAATTATACCCCAAGTTAAAAATATCATTGCCTGTTTCCCCTAAGAATCTTAGCAATAGTTTCACATGGTCATCAGAGGGATGCTATCTGGTTAGAAACCAACATATTCCCTACATGATGATTCTGTATCATCTGGTTTGGTAGACAGTATTTGTACACCTTTCTAAAACCTTGATTTAATGTGTATTGTGTGGAGAATGTGAGGATGCCACAGTGCTCTAAGTGAAAATCAGCAACTGCTTGTGGGAGTTGGTCCTTTCTTTCTAATTTAGCAAGGGTTCTAGAGATTGACTTCAGACCATGAGGGTTGCATAGCAAGTGCCTTTACCTGCTGAGCCATCTCAGCAGGCTTCTACTTAATACTTCCTACAAAATTGTTAGGAGCCTGAATATAAGTTCTGTGATTGCACTAAAGGCCAGTATTGTTGGGCCCTGGCCTCCCATTTCTTGAGTAGCTGTTGCCCTGCTTGCTGACTTTGACCAGATGTCCTCCATATGCTAATTCCCTGCCTGTTTCCTTCCTCCTGAACACTTACTGGAGGTTCTTTGTTTGTGTATCCTGCATTTGGTGTAAACAGCTAGGATGCAAGAATGTAAAACATCTGTACTGGGGTTCTCCCATTGTGCTGTAAGCCTGTATTTAAGGTTTCCTCCCTCCTTCAATGCATTTGGTATTCTCCTAAGACTAATGACCTACTGTTCTTGTCTCTTTTTTTGATCCTCAGCCCCTTGCTCGGACATGGTGAATGAGTAGTGGTAGCGCGGCATTACTGCTACAAGTGGAGGTTCCACTGAGATCCGAGAAAGAAGGGACGCCGCTGATGGACACCCGAAAGTAAGGCTGGCCAGCAATTTAAAGAAAAGGTAAGGTCAGGTGAATTGTTATGGGTGCAGCTAGTTCGCTGTCGCTCCTGGAGGAACAGTTAATTGGACTGCTGAAGCAGCAGGGCACCACCGTTAAGAGCAGGACAGCTAAAGATTTCATTCAGATTCTCCAAAATGTTAGTCCTTGGTTCCTGGTCTCTGGGGGACTTAATATACCAGATTAAAGGGAAAGAAAGAAAATAAAAAAGGAAATCTTCCCAATAGAGAAGAAGAAAGGAAAGGAAATTTCCCTTTAGAAAGGGGAGAAAATTTTAATCAAGAAAAAAGGATTTTCCCGGTAAAAAGGGGAAAAATATTGAAACTAGGCCTAAAGATTTTAAGGCCCTTGTAAAAGAAAAATAAAGGAAAGAAAAAAGCCTCTTCCCAGTAGTAATAGAGGAATAAAAGGCTCTTTACAATATGAAAATTTTTATTTTTATAAAAATACTCTAGAAGAGTATTACCTAAAGTTACCTCTTAAAATCCTATAGAGGCTGCCGGGCGGTGGTGGTGCACGCCTTTAATCCCAGCACTCGGGAGGCAGAGCCAGGCGGATCTCTGTGAGTTCGAGGCCAGCCTGGGCTACCAAGTGAGTCCCAGGAAAGGCGCAAAACTACACAGAGAAACCCTGTCTCGAAAAACCAAAAAAAAAAAAAAAAAATCCTATAGAGGATGTACTTAATACTTTTATAATTAACGGTCCCTTACTAAAGAAAAATTGGAGGCTGCGAATGCATTAGTTAAGGAACAATTAGATGCTGGACATATCATTCCTTCCACTTCACCTTGGAACACACCTATATTTCTTATTAAAAAGAAATCAGGAAAATGGAGGCTATTACAGGATCTTAGAGCTGTAAATAAAACCATGCTTCTCATGGGAGCAACACAGCCTAGTTTGCCTACCTTTGTGGCAATTCCTAAACATTGGCATTTAATTGTGATTGACTTGAGGGATTGTTTCTTCACCATTCCTTTGCAGCTCGAGGACAGTCCTCGCTTTGCTTTTAGTGTTCCATCGGAAAACCTCAAAGAACCTTATCAGAGATTATCAGTGGGTGGTCTTGCCCCAAGGAATGGCCAATAGCCCTACTATATGTCAAATTTATGTGTCTTTGGCCATAGCTCCAATTTGAAAAGCTTTTCCAGATGTTTATATAATTCACTATATGGATGATATTTTATTGGCTGCTAAAGATAAAAAACTTGTTTTTGATGCCTTTTCTAAATTACAAGAGATTCTAAACCTGACTAATTTACAAATAGCCCCAGAAAAGTTACAGGTATCTTTTTCCTATCATTATTTAGGTCATGAATTGTTATGCACAGGCATACGTCCACAAAAGATTACTCTGCGTAAGGATCACCTACACACGCTTAATGATTTCCAAACCTTTCTGGGAGATATTCAATGGCTTCGGCCCACTTTAAAGAATCCAGCAGGTCAACTTCGTCCTTTGTATGATGTCTTAAAGGGTGACCCTGACCCTTTATCTCCCCGCGAATTAACAGCTGAAGGGCGTACAGCCCTACAATGTGTGCAAGAGGCCCTGGAGCAGGCTCACGTGCATTATAAAGATCTTTCTTCTCCCTTATTGTATTTGATATTTTGTTTTTCTCATTCATCTTCTGGGGTGTTTTGGCAAACAGGCCCTATTCTATTGGTACATTCCCCAGCTTCTCCAGTGAAAACCATTACTCATTATCCTCAGGCTGTTGCTCAGATTATATTTAAGGGAATCAAGATCAGTATTCAAACTCTTGGTAAGGAGCCAGATATTGTGGTGACCCCATACACCCAGTCTCAAAAAACATGGTTGTCAGCTAATGATAATGATTGGGCCATATTGACATGCTCCATGCTGGGTCAGTTTGATGCTCACTACCAATGATGTGTGTCAATTCTTTCAATTGCATCCTGTTATATTTCCCAAGACAGTACAGATGACTCCTATTCCTCAGGCCCATGTGGTATTTACTGATGGCACTTCACGTGGTTTTGCTGTGGTGGTTTCTGGTAACATAGTGAAGAGAATGAAAGTCCAGAGCACTTCTGCCCAGATGGCGGAGGTACAGGCACTGTTGCTTGCTTTACAGATGTTTTCTGATGAGCTTGTAAATAGTTATACTGATAGCCAATATGTGGCATGTGCCATTATGCCTTTGGAGACAACAGCCTACATACCATCCATTTCTCCCATTGATGAATATTTATTGCAAGTGCAAGGACTCATATGGTCCCACTCATATAACCTTTATGTGGGCCATATTAGAGCTCACACTCAATTGCTTGGACCTCTAAGTGAAGGTAATGAGAGGGCTGATGCCATTACTCGTATGGCTGTCATATTAGTTTGTTCTGCCTTTGATAAGGCTACTCAGTTGCATCAACATTATCATCTTAATGCTGGATCTCTCTATCATCACACAGGCATAACCGGGGAACAAGCCATCCAGATAGTTAAATCATGTCCTATTTGTGTTGAATTTTTACCTGTTACTCATTTGGGAGTTAATCCCTGAGGACTTTTATTTTATCATGTGTGGCAGATGGACATCACACATGTGCCTTCCTTTGGAAAATTACAGTATGTCCATCTATCTATCGACACATATTCCACTCTAATTTTTGCCTCTGCCCATTCAAGTGAGAAGGTTAAGGATGAAAAGAATCATGGTCTCCATGCTTTTGCTTATATGGAAGTGCCAAAATGCATAAAGACTGATAATGGTCCCACCTACAGCAGTACAGCATTTTCAAAATTCTGCCAAGATTTTTCTGTCGTTAATAAGACTGGTATTCCTTATAATCCTCAAGGACAGGCTATAGTAGAACGCTGCCATCGTACCTTAAAAACGTATTTTGCTAAAGTAAAAAGGGGGGAGCTAGGGGCTCATCTTTCCTCTCCACATTCTATTCTTTCCCTTGTTTTATATATTTTAAATTTTTTATCGGTGGATTCTGCTGGAGTATCCACTGCAGATAAGCACTGGAGGGCTCCTGTTGCAAATCATCCTCTGGTGCAATGGAAGGATCTTTCTACTGGCACTTGGAGGAGACCCGATCCGGTGTTGATGTGGGCCTGGGATTCTGTTTGTGTCTTTCCGCAGGACAATGAGGTTCCTCTTTGGGTTCCCAAGCACTGTGTGTGCCCTGTGGCTGCTGCCGAATCCCAACATGGAAGAGACCTATTGGGCCTTCGTGAAAAACTCTCCCCTTCTGATACCAGTGGGGATTGAAAGCCCAATACAGCCAGCCTTGACAAGCATTAAGATAAGCCTAGGAACTGTAGCCATGTGGTTGGATTCTTCAGAAGGTAATGTAATTGCTTTTTCAAGTATGTTTGAGAATGTGTCACCCAGGCAGGCACCTTGGAGATTAAGGATAACCCTGAAGGTCACTGACCTCCATTTGTTAACATTACCATGCCAGCTAAGCCTTTTCATTTTCGTAATCCTCTTCAAGCTGGTGTAGTACCTACTTTTCAGGAATGGTTTTTATTGGCCTCCTGAAATTCATCTAGCTCCCTTTTGAAGATACCTTGAAATTTGTGAGCCTAAAATGTAGCCATTATGAAACCATTAGTTCTGCTCCTTGTGTGCTGTCTGTTTTTTCTTTGTGGTTCTTGGTTGTTCTTTTGCAGAGCTGCCAGCTTAAGTCGTGCTGGGATCAAGAAAA